GGACCTCTGCCCCGTATGTTTATCCAATTCCCTCTTGAAGCCGTCCATGCTTGTAGCCGCCACCACCTCCTGTGGCAGTGCATTCCATGTGTTCATCACCCTTTGGGTGAAGTACTTCCTTTTCTCTGTTCTAACCCGACTGCTCAGCAATTTCATTGAGTGCCCACGAGTTCTTGTATTGTGAGAAAGGGGAGAAAAGTACCTCTTTCTCTACCTGCTCTGTCCCATGCAACATCTTATAAACCTCGATCATGTCACCCCTCAGTTGTCGTTTTTCCAAGCTAAAGAGCCCTAAGCGCTTTAACTTTTCCTCATAGGGAAAGTGTTCCAACCCTTTTATCATTTAGTTGCCCTTTTCTGCACTTTTTCCAAAGCTATAATATCCTTTTTGAGGTGTGGTGACCAGAACTGTACACAGTACTCCAAATGAGGTCACGCCATTGATTTATACAGGGGCATTATGATCCTGGCTGCTTTGTTTTCAGTTTCCTTCCTAATAATCCCCAGCATAGCGTTGGCCTTTTTTATTGCAGAAGTACAGAAGCCCTGCTGTCCTCCTAGAGATTAAGAAGACGACAACAATAGGGGTCAAAATGTTACATGGTGTTGCCAACTCTGGGTTGGGAAATTCCTGGAGATTTGCGGGTGAAGACTGGGAAGAGGAGGGCCTGGGGCAGGGAGGGAGCTCAATGGGGATGTGGCGCCAGAGAATCCATCCTCTGAAGCTGCCAGGAGATCTGAGCTCTGTAGTCTGGAGATCAGTTGTGATTCCAGGAGATCTCCAGGCTGCACTTGCAGGTTGGCAACCCTACAGGATAGAAATATGGGTAGAAGAAGAGGAGGAGATTGGATTTATACCCCGCCCTTCACTACCCGAAGGAGTCTCAGAGCGGCTTATAATCCCTTTCCTGTGGGGCTGAGAGAGCTCTCTTGAGAACCGCCCTTGAGGGAACAGCTCTGAAAGAACTTATGACTGACCCGGGGTCACACCAGCAGCTGCAAGTGGAAGAGTGGGGAGTCAAACCTGGTTCTCCCAGATTAGCGTCTGCGCTCTTAACCACTACACCAAACTGGCTCTCAGGGTGGGCCCTGGGGCTGAAAAGGTTACAGACACTGGCACTCACACACATCCTCCTTTTCTCCTCACCTCCAGGGTCTTTTAAAATACCTCCTGCCATTGGCCGTGGTGTATTTTGCAGAGTACTTCATCAACCAGGGTCTGGTGAGTGTGAAGGAGGGGGAGCGTGGCCAACTCTTCTCCAGCCTCCCTTGTTAACCCTTTCTTTCCCTGTGTTTTCCTTCCCCAGTTTGAGCTGCTCTATTTCAGAGAGGCACCCCTGACCCACGCAGAACAATACCGCTGGTGAGGAGGTGATAAAGAGATGGCCCTCCACAGCTGGAGCCAAGCATCGGGGAGGTGGGCTACAGACAGGAGCAAGAGCCTCACAGCTTGGGCTCCTGGATTTTTCTTGCTTCCCACAGGTACCAGATGCTCTACCAAGCTGGAGTCTTTCTCTCTCGATCTTCCGCCAGCTGTGTACGGATTCGCTATATATGGGCCCTGGCAGTGCTACAGGTAAAACGCTCCCTCCCACAACACACCCCTATATGAATGTTTCCTTCCTGCTCTGTTGAAGGTCCTCCTTACGTCTGGAAAATCTACACTGTCCCCTCTCCATGGGGACCACTAGTAGATTCCCTATGTAATGCCAGAGCTTTTGAATAGTAAATGCCTGAAGGGATGATGATTTTGAGGGGCCCATGTAATAAAATGAGCCAGGACTGCACATGTATTGCACTGTGTGTGTTTCATGTGGCAAAGAAGGGTCTTTCCCAACACCTTTTCCCTATCTTTGGAGATGCCAGGGATTGAACTTGGAACCTTTTATGGGCTAGACATGGACTGTACTTCTGAGATAATAATCGGGTGTGTGCCCCCCCAAAAAATTCAGCCCAATTCAGATTCGGCCGAATCGGGCAGAATCAATTTCAGCCGACATAAAGACTCCTGCATGTCAATTTCGGCAGTAGGAGGGGATTCAGGACTCAGTCTTTTGGCCAGCCCAATGTCAGTTTCAGCCCCATTATATCCTATGGGCCATTGAAGTCAATGGCGAAAACATAGGGTATATTCTGGGGGCTGGAAGGGAGGGGGTTTGAGGGAGAGGCTCCAAACTCGCAGGGTAGCTGCTGGAGCCTCTCCCCAGATACCAACCAAGGTTCAAGAACATTGGACCATGGGGTCCAATTCTACGGGCCCTCAAATAGGTTGCCCCTATCCCCTCCATTGTTCTCTATGGTGGGAAAAAAGTTATTTAATAATAATATCACTGAGTGGAATTCCTTCCTTCCTTCCTTCCTTCCTTCCTTCCTTCCTTCCTTCCTTCCTTCCTTCCTTTCCTTCCTTTCCTTCCTTTCCTGCCATCCCCTGTGAGCAGGCTCAGGGCAGGTTGCAATATATATATAAAAAAATAAAACAACTTCCTAAAACAATAAGAATCCTGAGTAAAAGACAGATGGTAGGCCAGCAATAATTGATCATGCAGCTTGTGTTGAAGATCGGGCGGGTGGAAATACGATAAACAGCCCCATTACAATTGATGGTGATAACCAGTCCCGTTACAATTTGCCCCAGATCAAGTAATGAGTTTGGAAGCTGGACAGAGATTTGAACCAGGGTGTTCCCAGTTTTAAGTACTACACCACACTGTGCTTTCCTTCCCGACGTTCACCTACTTTTCTCATTCCAGTGCCTGAACATGGTGTTTCTCCTGGCGGCGGTGTACTTCATGTTCTTGCCCAGTGTTTATTTAGTCTTCGTTCTCATCGTCTATGAGGGGCTGCTTGGAGGAGCTAGCTATGTGAACACCTTCCACTGTGTCAGTGCAGAGGTGAGCTTCTGGGAAGAATATTCATGAAACCCACAGAAGCTGGGAGGTCTTGACGGTCAGTGCCAGCTCCGGGATTCTCGCTACAAAACCGGTTAGATCAGCAGCTGCCTGTACCTGAGAGTTCTTTGTTATGGCTCCCAGGAGGTGGGGGAAGGCTCCCAAACTGCTATCAGTTTCATGAGGGCATTTTTATAAAGGGAACAGGGCTGCAGTTGTTCAGGAGGGCAACAGGACTGCAGTCTGTTGCAACTTGCAGTGTTTGTTGTACGTAATCTCTTGTTCTTACTGGGCGGTTTTCTGACTTACCCTATCTGGGGTTTTTTTTGGATTGTTTATGGTAATGTCACTTCGCATACTTTTTTTAATGCACTGCAATCCCAGTTCTCTTCCATTGTTTAACAGAAGTCTTATGCTGTCTGACTATATTGTTTTAAAGTTGTGTAATCTGTCCCGAGCTTCATCGAGAAGGGCAGACTATAGACAAAGTCAATAAATGAGAATCAATCAGCATGTCCCTTAACCAAGGAGGATCTGCCAACCGCCCCCCCCCCACCTCTGAATGTTGCAGGAACAGGATCCCACATCACGCAGAGGGTGCCTAGACAGGTCAATTGGGGGTGGGGTCCCCCAAAGGAAGGCTGTTGCCCTCATGCCCTGCTTGCAATCCTAGCTGGTTGCAGGCCGTGTGCATGGGACACGCCACCAGGGCAACGATTGCCTTCAGTTTCATACAATAATGTGTGTTTAGCTCACCGGTGTGTTTTATATATATATAAATATACACCTTATACCTTTCAATGTATTGATCGCTCATCCTGCAGAGCTGCTGGCTCTGAGCGATTTACAGTTACCCAAGTTTTCACACGGGACTAACAATGATTCATAGGGTAAGGGAGGACAACATATAATTCTTTAAATCGCACGCTTTTGCAGCCGACGGGAATTTTGTTCAGCTGTAAGCTTCAGGCGTGTTCCGGACGGCATTCACTTTCGGCTTGGCTGGATTATGTCAGTTCTTCCAGGACTGCTTTGAGTCGTAGTGCCGCACTGCCACTGCCTGGCCAGATTGGCCCATCACAGGCTTCTTAATGCCGAAGAGGTCTTTTTTCCAGGCTTCCGAGCTGGACCTTCCGTTCGCCGGCTAACACCTCCCCCACGGGGGTTTTAGTGTGCCCACCCTCTCTAAGGAGTGGTACCCATTTTATCTACTCGCCGAAGCTTTCGAACCGCTGGGTGGACGGCGAGCTGGGGACAAGGCTGGTAGCTCACACCAGCGCGGGCTAGAACTGACAGCAGCTCTGTTCAGTTCAGATGTTAACCAGAGGATAAATCCTCTGTGCCACCACTCCCCTCTTGCACAGAACAGCATGAGAAGCTGAAGGAGATCTCAAGAGCCAGGCTCCAATGTTATCAGTGCTTTAATATTCTCTCTCTCTCTCTCATTTCCACGTGCAGAGCCAGCCCAAGCACCGGGAGTTTGCCATGGGAGTCGCGTGTGTGGCTGACACGCTGGGCATCTCACTTTCCGGTGCCCTGGCCATCCTAGTCCACAACTATTTCTGTCGCCTCTCCTGAGGCCCGCTTCACCGAGGGACCGTCGGATGCCTCTCTGCGCCACGTTCCTGCTTCTGAGAGACAATCCGGACACACGCTGGGAGTTCTGCGCCTGGAGCTCCAGACAATCTTTTTAAACTCAGTTTTTAGGCACTTATGGTTCCAATTCAGATAGGGACCACAGCAGGAGGAGGGTTTAAGCCTACCCCCCCATGCCATTTTTCCAGCCTCAATACAGCCCCAGAGAGTCACTACTTGCCCCATTAGGGAAATGTGCAGATACTGATGTGGGTACTGTATGATACCCAGGACGTATCACATTTGGCCCCGAGGAATGAACTGGAAAAGAAACTAAAATTTTAGCCCCCACACTTCTCTGGCTGTGAAGGAAGAAAGGAGTCCTATGAGGGTCAGGGGTTCTCACCCTACCAAACGCTTGGAGATATTTATTTTCCTGCTATTTTAGTGTGTGCTTTTTTGGTCCATCCTTTTGTTTTATTTCAGTAAGGGTGGGAGTTATTTTCTTGTTGCACAAGATTTAGGGGACTGGATAACACCACACAGAAACACAGTTCAATGGGAATGAGGTCAAGCCATTATTGGGGCGGGGGGGGATTTTACTCCAGCACAAGTAAGCTATATTCTGTGCACTAGTATAGTGGGAGGTGGGAACAGAAAAAAATGTTTAATCCACAGAATCAGAATAAAAGCTAGTTGAACTTTATAGGTGGTTATGAGGGAAGGCTTATGAGGTGATGCACAGACCCAAGCCTGTGGGTGGGGTGGGAGGACAATAGGTTTGCATTTTGAATTTTGATTATTGTATTCATGAAACAATAAACTTTGGGAAAAGGACAGTCTCATTAAATAATGCCTTGCGTCATATATGCCAAGCTCCTGGGATGGGTTTCTGTTGTAGTTGTGAGGGGGTTGTTTGTTTTATTATTTATTATTATTTATTTGATTTCTATCCCGCCCTCCCGCCGAAGCGGCTCAGGGTGGCTTACAACAATAAAACCGGCAAACAATATATTTGTTATCGTTTTAAGAGGACACTGTATGGTAACAGGTAAAAGGTAAAGGTTCCCTTGCTCGAAAGCCAGTCGAATCTGACTCTAGGGTTGCGGTGCTCATCTCTGTTTCAAAGCCGAAGAGCCAGCGCTGTCCGAAGACGTTTCCGTGGTCATGTGGCCGGCATGACTAAACACCAAGGCGCACAGAACGCTGTTCCCTTCCCACCGAAGTGGTACCTATTTATCTACTTGCAATTTCTTGCTTTCGAACTGCTAGGTTGGCAGGAGCTGGAACTAGAGACGGGAGCTCACTCCGTCATGCGGCACACTCGGGTAACAGGACTGCCCCACAAACCGGGGGCACATGCAAAATATTAGAGGGTCTTTCAAGTGAATATGGTAGAATAGGTCCAGGTGGGGCAGCCGTGTTGGTCTGAAGCAGTAGAACAAATTTAGAGACAAGTGGCACCTTTAAGACCAACAAAGGTTTATTCTGGGTATAAGCTTTCGTGGTCATGCACACTTTTGCATATACACTGGAATGGAAGGTAACAGTTCAAACTTACAGACAGGCTGAACAGCAAATTAGCATGTAAAGTGATGTTTTAAGATATGCAAAGACGAAAACTAAATAACAAGCTAAGGTTATGAGGTCAACAGTTGTTTTGATTTAATTAAGGGGGCAAAAACACTGAGGCAATAACTATGTCACAAGAGGAGATAAATGTGTGAGGTTCCCTTTCTGATTGTGGGAAGTAAAGGGCTATGCTCTCGGGCGTGGAGGCAATCGACAGCATTTCTTTCTTCTATTGAGCTACTACGAGGTTGATCCCTATGCATATTTATACCGACACGATTTTAATGGACGTTCCATTACGGAACTGTTTGTTGTACTAGAAAGACTCTGGAGTTGGTAACAGAGTTACCAGCCTCAAAGTGGAGCCTGAAGTTCTCCTGGAATTACGACTGATCTGCAGACCACGGAGGAGTTGGTGGCTTTGGGGGGCAGACTCTAGAGCAGCACATCCCACCTGAAGCTCCCTCCCCTCCACAAGCAACCTCCCCCCCCCCAATCTTTTGGAACTTCCTGTGCCAGATTTGGCTACATAGATTAGTAAAGTCTTCTGATTAAACTCCAGCAATGTGCTGCGACCGCTGTGGGGGTGGTCTGTGCTGATCGCCGTCGGGAGACATTCAAAATGTGGCCGTTGTCAGGTAAATGCATTTTGGCTGTCAACAGTACACCCACAAGGAGGGCCCACCAAGAACACAAAATTGGTCCATAAAGCACATCAAAGGAAATTATTAGCTCCTCTTTTGGTTATTTATATGTAAACCTTTTTTTTATGGGGTCCAAATGTGACCTATGCTTACAAAATTTTAATTCCAATGGGGGAGGGGAGTGTGGCTTCGTCAACAGAGATTTGGGAAACAATGAGTTAGTAAGCAAAAACTCACTTCAACCATAAGAGACTCTGCCAGCTAAAGTGCAACCAACCACAGTAGAGGTGGACGGCCACTAAGATTGCAGTCAAGCAAACTTTCCATGGCCCCGGTCACAAGGGGGGGGGGAAAGACACAGCCAAAACGCACCAAATGAAATTATTAGCTCCTCTCTTGGTTATTTATATGTAAACCTTTTTTTATGGAGTCCAAATGTGACCGATGCTTACAAAATTTTAATTCCAATGGGGGAGGGGAGTGTGGCTTCGTCAACAGAGATTTGGGAAACAATGAGTTAGTAAGCAAAAACTCACTTCAACCATAAGAGACTCTGAGAGCGAGGCAGCCAGCTGTGCATGGGCGCACATGTGCAGTTTGGCCGGGAGCCTCGCATGCTGCGGGAGATGGATGCGCCGGCGATCCCACGGCTGCCCTTGCTGCGGATTTTCAAGTAGGCAGTACTCTTTTCTAGTTTTTTTTAATGCGCAGTTTCCCCCAGAAAGGACGGATTGGGGACGGGTGCACTCCGCTTCCCAGATGTTGTGGTGTGATCGTGCCCGTTTGACGCGCCCCCGATCCATCCCTCTTGCGGGGCAAAACCTCCGGTGTGACCAGGGCCCATGGAGTAAACCCCACTGACTAAAATGGGACTTACTTCTAAGTAGCCCTACTTAGGATTGCTCCCCATATCCTGCTACTGGTGTCCCTACTGTTGAAATGTAAAAAGTGTAAAACAGACGGTGGGGTTTTTTTTACCCCCACTTATCTTACTTTAAGTCACCACGTGCATTTTATTTATTTAAAACATTTCTATGCCCCCTTTCCACTTACATAAGGTCTTCACGGTGGGGATCCTTTATCATCTATGATGCTAAAGAAAGCATCACCACCGTGATGGCCTATCTTCACTGGGAAATGTTGAAAAATATTGCATGTACAAGTGCTTTTGTTGTTGTTGTTCAGTCGCACAGTCGAGTCCACCTCTTCGCGACCCCATGGACCAGATCCCGCCAGGCCTTCCTGTCTTCCGCCGTCCGCTGAAGTTGGCTCAGTTTCATGTTCGTTGCATCTATGACACTGTCTAACCATCTCATCCTTTGCCGTCCCCGTCTTCTTCGACCTTCAATCTTTCCCAGCATCGGGGTCTTCTCCAGTGAGTGCTCCCTGCTCATTTGGTGGCCAAAGTATTTGAGCTTCAGTTTCATTATCTGGCCTTCCAGGGAACAGTCAGGGTTGATTTCTTTTAGGATTGACTGATTTGATCTTCTTGCAGTCCAAGGGACTCTCAAGAGTACAAGTGCTAGGGTTAGCAAAAAGGGGGGGGGAACAGATTTAAGAGAAAGGACACTCAGCACATAGTGCCCAAGGCATTAGCAACACAGTCCAAACTCTTTCCTATGAAATCTCTGCACTGGGCATTATCTATTCCGATTTTTTATGGAAGATTACAAAGCATGTGGTTATTATGACAGACTGCTTGGTAGGGTATTATGTTCTTTATTGGTAGCATACACACCATTTTTTTTTTGTTTTATACAACACACATTTGCATTTACAGGACTAATTTACAAACTGAGATTATGGTCTCGGAGCCCTTGAAGGAATGAATCTCGAGCTTCTCAAGAACCAGGCAGGACATCCTCATAAAATGTCTTCAGTGCCACACATTCCGAAGGTAGAGCAAACCGTGTTGCGTTAACTCCATCTGTCAGCGCTGCCTAAAAATCTGACCTAGCTGTAAACAAGATCCATTTGCTAGTTCGCCGTTTCAGATTTCGAAAGTGTCCAAAGAAGGCGATGAAGGAGTGAAAAGGAAAGACATAATTGTCAAGAAAACCCCCCTCCCTTTTCCTTCTTCCCTCCTCCACAAGGATTCAAGTTTTGTTAAAACACACATACAGAACAAATAAGCAAGAGGCACGGTGAACAGAGGACGGAAAAACCCCACACGTCTTTGTTCTACAACTCTGTTGGCTTTTAGTAAAAACTAAACAAGACTGGAGTTTCCCAAGATATAAAATAAGGGCAACGTCAATGAGGGGAGGGGGCGGATTCTGAGCCTCTGTAGTGGTAAGAAAAAAAAGTCACAGGAAGAGTAGGCTTTCAATATCTTTAACTCTCAGAACTGAGCACCTTAGTGACTTCTTGGAAGCGCAGCAAAAGTCGAGTACCCCCCCCCCAGGGGAGAAGACTTAAAGAGGGAAGTGCTAATTCCATTGATGCTCAAGCTGAAGCTGCATCCAACTGGAATACGGGCTCCCCTTGAAGCAGAGGATTGGAGTCGGAGCAAGGACCCCCGGCAGTGTGATGGACATTATCCAAGTGGCACTAGGCAGTTCCAGAGGGGGCCGCAGGGAGCTGTCAGTTCTTTGCCATTGGACAGCAGAGGCCTGTATAGCACGGAACACGGCAAGATGAAACACCAACTGGCCCGATTCCTCTCTACCCCTACCGCTCCAAGAACTGGAATATACTCCGGGTTCCTTGAACAGAAGCACCATCGAGCCGAAGCCGCTTGGGAGAGGGGGCTGTAGTGGGAACGGGAGCTCGTTTCTTCCCCTGGAAAACGACACAGAACCATTAGGCTACCACTGCAAGGAGAGTCACAGAAGTTAAGAGCAAAAAAGAACCACCAGCATCTCCCTTGCCTAGGAGGCCAGATTAATTTGCTACAGGCGACTGCACATGTGACTATGTGTCAACATCAGACAATCCAAATCCAGGGTATTTTATACGGACTGCTGATCTCGGCTGCATGGAAGAGCAGCAAAGAAGTTGCTCAGAGCTCAGAAGCTGCAGAAGGCAGGAAACTGCAAGAACTGCCTTGCTGGCTCCAATCCAGCAAGTGCCCAGTAGTCAGCCAGATCCACCTGGAAAGCTCAGAAGCAAAGCAACAGCTGTCTCAGGCATAATAAACTTCTATCATCTCTCATGATCACAGAGGCAATCCACTTTCACATTGCCGCATTCATCACAGGGAAAATGCTCCATTCTCTTGCTTTCTCTTACCCCCTTG